CTTGGGATTTGTGTTGATGTTTCGAAGGTACTATCCTTCGCAGCGTACCCTGGGTATCCCCTAGTACCCTACCGGGATACTAACATCCCTTGGGATTTGTGTTGATGTTTCGAAGGTACTATCCTTCAGCACAAGAGACGTGCCCGCCTGAATTATGCCTGCCCCGCAAGCTGCTCGCATTAATTTTGGTACCTTGGACGGGAAATCCAATAAAATGGCCTGATGTTATTGTTTAAAGGTTGCCCTTAATTATGCAATTAATTTGCATACAAAAAGACTTTGCATGCTCACGTAAAATCATTGATGTTGCATGTACAAGAGGAGTGTTTTGAAAGCTGGTGGGTTTTGCTTATTCCCTTTTAAAAACGCGCCCTCTAGTCTAACTTTGTTTTGAAGATCTATGAGTGTGCTGGTAGTCCACCGTTATGAAATAAAAACTGCAGTTCAGTTGGGCTATTTTGAAAGAAACCGCAACGAAACAAATAACAAGAACTTTTGTAACAAAGTTAAGTGGCCGCGGCCTTATAAACAGACACCTATCTCAGTATGTAATGAATAAATTCATAAGGCAAAATTTTACTTGTCCTACATCTTTTAAAAGGCTTATATCTCGGCTGTTTTAGAGGCGATTTAGAATATAATTTTTCTGAGACATTATGAAATGATTGAAGTTTACGAGGGCTGTTTTTTATTTGATAGATCAGATAGACTGCGCTGTACAGTTATGCTTTAAGCTTATTTTGTAACATATCAGAAATAAAGTTTTCGGAAGGAATAGAAGATACCAGTCTATGATTTTATTGATAAATGATCGGTCGAAACCTCTTGTGTGTCATGTAATAGATCAAAAACGAGTGCGAGGTTTTTATCAGGGGTTCCAAACACCGAGAAACGAATGAAAGCACGACGCCGAAGGCCGAGTGCTTTTATTGTTTCGAGGTGTTTGGAACCCCTGATGAAAACCGAAGCACGAGTTTTTGAGCTGGCTTCTCAAACTAGTGTGAGAATTTAGTGGAATTATTTCCGAAGAATAAGTAATTAGAAGACGTGCTCAATAGGCTATTGTTTGTTTCTTATTCGTGGTAAATGAAATGAATATTTAATATGCGGCCATGCTGGCGGGTTTTTTAGTAGATTAACATTACGGCGCGTGATGGACGTCGTGTCCGGATCAGAAAGATTTCGTGTTCCTAAAACTTATTTTCAAGAAAATGTTCTGGTGAATGACGCCGTTCCAGCTTCAACTAACTGGACGCTAGTGACAAAAGATAATTGACAACTTTTAGACCCCATTGTGCAGAATTTTAAATTGCACTGTTTTGGGAATTGAATTTGGTGTGTTGTTTTTCGAAGGTTTGTCCTGTTCCGACGTTGCTTAGATGCCGAGATGAAGGATGGCGTTCGAGAAGGGCTTCACATTAAGTGCAAGATGGGGGAGAAGGAGTTTGTAAGTGAGCAAGAAGAAGCAACATTCTAGGAGAAGAAATTGCTGGGAACTACATCAGCTAAGTCGTTATTGAACACGATCTATTTCTACAACGACAACAGAAAAGTTGAAAGAATAATATGTTGCCCCATTGTTGTTGTAAGTAATGATTGAAGCAGCAAATCTACTGTATTTAGTATTAAGACTGATTAAAATTCAAGTTTCTTGATCAGTGTCTTGATCAGTTTTTGAACTAATCGAATGTGTCTTGATCGGTATGTTCATTGGGTATCAAAATACATGCACCTGACTCAATTGATGCAAGCTGATTGGGTCATCAGTACATGAATAATTAATGAGTTTGAAAAGTATTGAGCATATTTTGTAATTTAAATTTTGCAAGCAAGATATAATCGTTTAAATGAGCAAAATCTGTCATCCCTGAAATTAACGCCTTATATCTTTTTATAAGAGCGCTCTTTTAGAATTCCGCTCAATACATAACACACTACAGTCTACTAAGTTTACCCCTCCGCAGTGCCAGCTCGTGAAGGTTTGTATCTGCGCTGAATTCTTGGGCACAAAATTGTCGAAAAAGTCAAATCTTGAGACTCCCGAAGGTGTCCCGACTAAAGCACGAGTTCCGAACGAGATATGTAGTTATGATAATCATGGTTAATTACATTCCACCCTTTAATTTTCATTTCCTTATTTTTATTTCAATATTATTAAAAATCACTGAAACAAGGCGTGATTGAAAGCCCGTTTGTTACTTTTGAATAAACATTTTGTTTGTAGTCTGCGTGCCACACGTCAACGTGTCTGAACACTTTAAACTATGCGCTCATTTTTTACCCAGCTATGGCTGAATATTTTGTAAACCTGTCGATATCAGTCGTTGTACTTCGTGCGTACGCTTTAAATAAATCGACCTTAAATCAGGGAGACAAATGCGAGAAACTTAGATTAGGGTGATACCAAAACGTGGGGATGCGCAAATTAGGGGGCACCCAAAATGCGAGGATACTGAAATTGGGGGTTACCCAAAATGCGAGGATACTTAAATTAGGGGGTACCCAAAATGTGGGGATACTAAAATTAAGGGATACCCAAAATGCGGGGATACTTAAATTAGCAGGTACCCAAAATGTGGGGATACTAAAATTAAGGGGTACCCAAAATGCGAAGATACTTAAATTAGGGGGTACCCATAATGTGGGGATACTAAAATTAAGGGGTACCCAAAATGTGGGGATACTAAAATTAGCGGGTACCCAAAATGCGAGGATACTTAAATTAGGGGGCACCCAAAATGCGAGGATACTAACATTAAAGGGATACCAAAGGAAAACTTTAAATACGGTAATACCTAAATGACTGTTGGAAGTTAGTAGAGGTTCGTTTAGTGTCCAGGTCTCTTTGCGCTTTTGGTGTGGTGAGCAGGGTTACCGTTTTCACTCTTCATCAAATGTGACTCCCTTTCTTTGTAGTTCTGCCTCTGAAAGTAGCCGATACTTGGGTTTGCCATGTAGCATTCTCCACTCCGTGATATAATGCTGAACAAATAAAAAGCAACGGATTAAACATAACGTAAAGTTAGTTCGTGTTATCGCGCAAATTGTGGCCATGATTGTTTTGCTACTACAATGACATATCTCTAATGACCTATCCACCTCAGCGTGAACCAAAACGTCATTACTTTAACGAAACGCACACGTATATTCGTCCTTCTAAATGGAAATCTTTGTAAACAGAGAAATTACTCGTTTTGTCCTGATCTTCTCGTACCCCGCGGAAGAATTGAGAACCTGCTACTGGTCAAAAAAAGTAGAGAGGCTCTTTGTGCAAAGTAGCGAATGCGACGAAAGAATCACAAGCTTCGTCAGTCCGCTTTATTTCATTACCCTACTTAAATTTAGTGTGAATGTATTTTGCATGGAAGTACAGTGGAACCTCGATATAACGAACCTCTATATAACGAAGTCCTCCGTATGACGAACGATTTTCTCAGTTTACCCTAGTAACAGCAAAATAGATGAAAAAAAACCTCGATATAACAAAACCTCGTTCTAGCAAAAGAATTTTGCCAGTCCCTTGGCCTTTCGTCATGTCGAGGTTCCACTGTAAGATTAAGAGTAAGATTTCAATTGTATTCTATAAAAAAGAAGAAACCGCATTTGTTTTCTTAAGTTCGCATTTTAAGGAAACGGTAAGGAAATCGAAAAATGAAGTCAAAACTTTTCAAAGTGCAATCCACTACCATCCTGGCCATCCAAAGCTAAATACACTAAAATTTCAGTGCACTAATATAGCAGTCGTTAACCGAACTTGAGTTTGATATTGAAATCTATTTTAGTCCACTGACGTTGTAATATTATTAACGGAATATGATAATTGCAATCTATTTCCACCCTGCAGGACATCTAAAGAAAGACAAAACACATTAGCAATTCTTGTCACGACTGGACTACTATTCGACAAGTTTTCTTTTACAAAAAAGTGTGTGTTTGTAGCGTGGGTAAGAATGGCTACACAGCCCCTTTGAAGAACGGTTCGTTTTCGTCCACCAGGAAGTTCCTGGGTATTACGAGCACAAATAATGCAAATTACAAAAGAGAAACTTACATCATAATCTGACTTCCAGATATCACCTTTCTTTTCATTTGCTAATGCACAGAGCTCAGTGGCTTCTTTCTTTGTCAGTTGAACTTGTTCGAGACCGAGCTTAAAAAGACGAGGAGGACTACTTCTGAGACACTTGATTAGTTCAGTTACTCCGCGGCCCAGTGGATTTCTGTCAAGCACAAGGAACTTCAGTTTTGGTACGTAGACGAGTACATGGGCTAAAGCTGTAACTTCCTCTTCACCCATCTGTGTATCAGCCAGGTAGAGACTTTCCAGATGAGGTACACTGTGCAGATGTTTGGCAAGCTCACTTACTCCGTCACCGAGTGGGTTCTTTGATAAGTCAAGTAGACTCAGCTGAGTCACATTCTTTAAACTATGGGCTAAAGCTGTAACTTCCTCTTCACCCATCTGTGTATCATTCAGGTACAGCTCTTCCAGATGAGGTACACTGTGCAGATGTTTGGCAAGTTCACTTACTCCGTCACCGAGTGGGTTCTCTGATAAGTCAAGTAGACTCAGCTGAGTCACATTCTTTAAACTATGGGCTAAAGCTGTAACTTCCTCTTCACCCATCTGTGTATCGTCCAGGTACAGCCTTTTTAGATGAGGTACACTGTGCAGTTGTTTGGCAAGCTCACTTACTCCGTCACCGAGTGGGTTCTTTGATAAGTCAAGTAGACTCACCTGAGTCACATTCTTTAAACCATGGGCTAAAGCTGTGACTTCCTCTTCACCCATGTCTGTATCTTTCAGCATCAGCCTTTCCAGATGAGGTACACTGTGCAGGTGTTTGGCAAGCTCACTTATCCCGTGACCGAGTGAGTTTCCTTCTAACCATAGAACACGTAACTTATCAACATACTTAAAAGCAGTGACAAGTAATTGGCACTCTTGATTCCCCATACCAACAGCATGTAAATAAAGCTCAGATAGTCGAGGCAAATGGTGAAGATTATTCAGTAAAATGACAAGTTCACAAAGTGCAGTTTTTGGGTTGTCAACACCCCAATTTTCAATCTTTCTCAAATATGACAGAGAGTGTGTCAGAGTCTGGTCAGATGTTTTCTCAGTTAACTGCAAAGAGTTCCAAACATCTTGATTCCGTAACTTGTGATCAGGCTCTTGAAGAGAGGACTCTGGTGCTGATATTAAGAAAGTAAGCAGTCCAATGGGCTTATATTCAAAGCGAGTTAAATAGCACACAAATCGATGTCCGACTTTCTTAACGAAAAAGGTCCCAGGCTCTACACTGTCAGTGTGGTACCTATTGGCGGATTTTACGTCACCATAACATGTCACAAAAACAGGGTCCAAATGGGACAAGCCAGAAAACATTTGTTCACGAATAACTTTGGAATCGTCATCAAACTCTCCGTCATCAAACTCTCGCGTAAAAAATACATAATCTGGCTTATGGAAATTTGTTGATCTCAGGCAATGTTCGCTGCAAACTTTAGGCAGTTGGTGTTCATCTATCACTATAAGACCGTTAACGCATTGCAGAAATAAAGGATAGACATTTTTCCTATCTGAAGAAGGGCAAGAAAGGAAAAGATCGAGACTAATACTATAAAACTTTCCTTGTTCTTCAGTGAGCTTCTCACCACAGAAGGGGTTTTCACAGAAGTTGAAATCAGTCAGACCTTCTTTTTCTCCTATCACCTTCAGATGGCGAAAAACAGCAACGGTAGCTTCTGATGACAACTCAGACACGAATTTGAAAACTTCAAACAGCTCCCTGAACCGTTTAAATGAGTCGACTTTAGACAGACAGTTGAAGGATTCCTTGGCATTTTTTAAATCACGAACTAAAAACGAGGCGGCAAGGAACTCTTGCACCGATTTATGGAGAAAGAACGCCAGTTTCTCACGATGAGGAGAGTCTGAAAGGTTAGAAGTCTGTAGAAAGCCAAAATCGATAAACTTCTTGAGGAATAACCGAATGTCCTCAGGCATGTTGCTAAGCTTGAAATACAGACAGTCATTTAAAAGTGCCTGCCAGGCAAGTTCCCCTAACTTTACAAGGTCTTCTCTGTATTCATCTATGCTTCTAAGTGTCTCATCTGATGTTTTGGCGGTAACGTGATCAAGCAGCGTCTGGCAAAATTTGTAATACAGGTCTGAGCGGGATGTCAATGATCCTTGATAATTCTTCCAGGTTAGAACCAACATTAACAGTAGGAGTGGTATTTCCGCCAAGCCCCACAGGTCGCGTTCATACAGAAATTCTTCAAAGTTGATTACTTCTGTTTGCTGGCAAAGAAACTTGAAAGCAAACTTTTCAACTTGCAAATCATCAAACCCACAAATTTCAAACTGAGCATGACTTCCTGGTCTTAACTCATCTTTTTTGCGAGGACGGGTAGTCACAAGAAGAGTGCAATCTCTCAATTGACTGCCTTTCCAAATCTGATGGACTGGCGATGATGTCTCGGCGCTATATTCATCATAACCGTCTAAAATAAGTAGGACTTTCTGTTGGTTACGAAGAATGTAATCATACAATTGGTTAAATACCATAGGGTCACCTGCGGACAACAGCTCCGCCTTTTGTAGCACGTCACAGAAATCTTGCGTGTTGCAAACATCTCGGAGCTTGATTAAAAGTACAACAGCAAACTTCTTTAGGATTTCTTTATTACTTCGTGACCAGTCAACGGCGAGTTTCTTTGTCAATGTCGACTTTCCTATTCCTGGCCTCCCATAAACTAAAATTCTCTTAGGAATTAGATGATGACCATGGCTTGCGAATAGCTCACTGTAATCTTGAAGCCTTTCTTTTGTTGTTCCAGCAAGTTTTCTGTCATCTCTCAGCAGTGTTAACTGTACATACACCTCATCAATGTCCATGGTATTATCTCGGTCCCAAGGGGTAATCATTAACTGGCTCGCGGTACTGTTGTAAAATGAGCACAGCTGATTTTGACTCCACTCCAAAAAAGCAGTTACAGCATCTGTTTATACAGAAAGTAAATCTCTTTAAAATTAAATCCTCTCCAACGCATTGAGCAGTAGAAAGTTAATTGTACAAGTTTTGTGGTAGCGCTGACAATGGTAGTTTTCTATTACGGCCATTTACATCCAAGCGTGAAATAAAAATAGAGCCTGATCTCAGGTTAACACTGGAGCAAGATTCTTCATGCGTTAAGCTTATCACCAAGTCTTACACCACCGGTTTCTTAAACAACCTTCTGTCGCGAGGCTGACTTGTTGATCAATTTTTGAGATAATTATAGATTTCAAAACTTTTATACTACAGTTAGTTTACATTATACTGGCCTCCCCTTCTTATTTAGTATTAAAAAATTAAAATGTCATGATTAATTTAACACGTTCAATGACGTTAAAAATGGCTTTAGAAGCTGTGTTGTTCAGTGTTGTTTTTTTGTTGTTTTGCACTGTAAATCCGTTGCTCAGGCTAAGGGTGGGAAAACCTTACTAATTTAACACATAAGCTAAGGAACAGAGCGCAAATAGCAGCTAATTAGACAACAGAACTTAATAGTGGATAGGGAAGAGGGTCTTTTTTTTTTTAATTAAATGGAACACATGTACTGTAAACGTTCGAATAGCACCCGTCTTCAAATAAGTGCTCCCCCCAAGTACAAAATAATTTTGCCCAATTATTAGCTAATGTACACGACACCCCTGATATGACAGTTCCAAAAACATTTGGCAAGAAAAAACAAACAAAAAAATTATAACCAACCACAAGAGAAAAAAGAGGAAGAAACAAGAAAACAAGAGAAAAACAACAAGAGGAAGGGAAAATGAAGGGAAAATGTATCCCAAACTCGTAACATGCATGTTGGATTGTACATGCACAAAGTAGCATTAAACATTAAGGCCCCGTCCATACGAATCTGGATATTTCTGAAACTGAACATTTTCTTTATCACAACACGGCCTTCCGTAAACATTAAACCAGTGAATCAGCTCAGTCGTCCGTGGCCTATTCATGTAAAAAAATATGTGGTTTCAAAAAATATTTGGATTCGTGTGGACTGGAGCCATAAATTGGTACCTGAAGGACTTGGTAACTGTTCCTTTGATCTGCTGGCTGAGGTCTGCTCTGATATATCTTTAACAAAAAGAGATCTCTTACTTACATTCAAGAAATCTACTAGNTAAACGTTCGAATAGCACCCGTCTTCAAATAAGTGCTCCCCCCAAGTACAAAATAATTTTGCCCAATTATTAGCTAATGTACACGACACCCCTGATATGACAGTTCCAAAAACATTTGGCAAGAAAAAACAAACAAAAAAATTATAACCAACCACAAGAGAAAAAAGAGGAAGAAACAAGAAAACAAGAGAAAAACAACAAGAGGAAGGGAAAATGAAGGGAAAATGTATCCCAAACTCGTAACATGCATGTTGGATTGTACATGCACAAAGTAGCATTAAACATTAAGGCCCCGTCCATACGAATCTGGATATTTCTGAAACTGAACATTTTCTTTATCACAACACGGCCTTCCGTAAACATTAAACCAGTGAATCAGCTCAGTCGTCCGTGGCCTATTCATGTAAAAAAATATGTGGTTTCAAAAAATATTTGGATTCGTGTGGACTGGAGCCATAAATTGGTACCTGAAGGACTTGGTAACTGTTCCTTTGATCTGCTGGCTGAGGTCTGCTCTGATATATCTTTAACAAAAAGAGATCTCTTACTTACATTCAAGAAATCTACTAGAAATAACTGCTACTTATAATCTCACTAGAAGTGCATATCAAGACAAGTGTAGTTTTAACACTTAGGGGGGCGTTTGATTGGGAAATCTGGATTTAGATTTTGAAATCCGGACTTCGGATTTTGCAATCAAACGCGAAATCCGAAAACGTATTTGATCTATGAGAAATCCGTCCTCAGGGTGAATCTGGATTTCATGGGTTTCCTTTTTACTGTTCGATTGGGAAATCAGAAAAAAGATTTGCAAAACTATTCTCGTGAACAGCGGTCTTCTTTTTGCTAATTATTATGCATGCACGTGCAAGACCACTGTTCTTAAGAACAGTTTCTCAAATCCTCTTTCGGATTTCCCAATCGAACGGTACAAAGGAAATCCAAAAACAGATATCTCAAATCCGAAATCCGGATTTTAAGATCTAAATCCAGATTCCCCAATCGAAAGCACCCTTAAAAAAGAAATATAGCTATGTGGTCAGCTCAATACGACTGCTGAAAAAAAACAAAAAAAAACAGACTCATCAGAGAACACTAATTTGGTGGTGGTTGTTGAACCTAAAAAAGTTCTTCTAACCTATACCTTATTTCACAACTTTTTTTGTTCAGTTACTCTCACTTACATTGAAGAAATCTACTAGAAATAACTGCTACTAATAACATCACTAAAACTGCATAATATCAAGACTAGTGCAGTTTTAACACTTAAAACAAGAAATATAGCTATGTGGTCAGCTCAATACGACTGCTGGAAAAAAACAGACTCATCAGCTAAGAACACTTGGTGGTGGTTGCTAAACCTAAGAAGGTTCTTCTACTCTAAACCCTATTTCACAACAAAATCCAAAACGTTTTTGTTCAGTTTCATGACTGTACTCAGTAATTGGCTCCTGCTGTAATTCAATCTCTTCTTGGTTTAAAATGACAAGGGAGCTTAATGCCATAGAAATTGATGCCATAGAGCTTACTATGGCATCAAGGAGCCGTAAAGCAACATGCCAAAAAGGCGCATAACATTATGAGAAATATTTACCTTGGTAATGAGGCCATGAATGAAAAACACAGGGCTCACTCAAAATGTGTGCAACAAGAGATGCAGCCATCACACTGGCACAGGAAGACCAACTCTGAGAACCATCTGCGTAATCAGCTATCCCTTTCACAATTAACCACTCAGTTTGACAGTCAAATGCTGCTGTAAACACTCCTGTACAACAACAAAGAAAAAGGCACTTGAGTTGAAGACAGTCCTACATCAATATCCAGTAGTTTACATTGTTTCGCAAGTCAAACTTTCCATAAAAATGCAAATTTAATATTTAAAAGCTAACTGGAGTTGGAAGATGGATGAAAAATGAGGAAGGTGTGAACTGTGGAAATATTCACAGCCTCCTTCCCAGTTGTGTTTGTTTGGATTGCGGTTATGGAGAGCTTCCACCTTAATCACTGGCGGACATGCTTCAGGCAGGTATTAGGACCTCTATACATCCTCAGTGGTAAGTTGCTTTTCTTCAGCTTTTATTGCAAGCAAGTTTGGGGTTGGTGCTTAATGCCCTTGGGGAAACCAGGTCCTGTGACTCCACTGTTTGTGGTCCCTGTTGTTTTATTCAAGCATCTGTAGACTGGTTTGGGTGGGCGCCACTCCTAGGGTTGTCATGAATATACTGATACCTCCAAGGCTCACCTAATTGCCCTCCCTTCCATTTTATCATGCACTTTCCCCACGCCCACCTATTGTCAATGGGTTTAAATGTGGCTAAATGTAATTTAGGGGAGGCTAAACACGAGACAATGCTGGCCAGCAGTCTTCATTACTAATTATATATGGCGCAGTCTTGGGCTTTAGCGTATTTTACAGTACTTTCCCGGAAGTCAATCATTTTGCTCATGATACTATTGCATGCAGTAACTTTACATGTGGCTCAGTTTTCGCTCTGAGCCTTCCCTTCCCTTTGGATGTTTTTTTGTAAGTATATGAGCATTTCTCCACTGTAGGTCTCAGTGTGATGGTGCCTGAAGGGTGCCGCTCGCAGGGTTGTCGTGGTTACCTTCTAGGTTTGCTTGGGGCTCCCTTCACGGTTTCACCAGGCACCTTCCTCACACCTACATGTATGTTTTGTCAATGGGTTTAATTTGCAGATATTATCACTGTCATTATAACAGCAATCTAAGCAAATGCAAATTAACCTTAAAAGCAACATACACATCTACAGAGTTTAAAAGAGTCCTGACTACATATACTTGCTAACGCTAGCTACATACAAAGTGAACTCACCTTCTCCTTCATTTTCCATTGCCATTGCCTGAGGATTGGTTTCAGCAAGTTGATCACGCCGCCATTCAGCTCTGACTTGTTCCGGACCACTCAGAAACTCAGCATCAGTATAAACTTGAACTTTCTGCGCTTCAGCCAGGTCTTTCAAAGGTGCTTGCCAGCCATCAGCGCAATTCTTAATGACATTCAGAAGGCGTTTGCTCACATAACTTCTCATACCAGTTGACTGCTCTTGATTGCTGCTCACTACCTTTGATGCATATGTTGCTAATAGAGTACTAAAGTGTGACGTCATAAAAATGAAATTTTTTGAAATTATGGGATTTGTCAGGATATTCTGAAAGAGCAATGTCTAAGAGGCCTACTTGCCAAAAATGAGCATTTGGGGGCAAATTGTCTCGGAGATCGTAGCCCAGTTATGCTTACAAAACTCCATACAAACCCTTCTAAATTTTTTTTGGGTCGACCCAAAAAAAAATTAGAAGGGTTTGTATGGAGTTTTCTGAGTATAACTGGGCTACGATCTCAGAGACAATTTGCCCCCAAATGCTCATTTTTGGCAAGTAGGCCTCTTAGACATTGCTCTTTCAGAATATCCTGACAAATCCCATAATTTCAGAAATTTCACTTTTATGACGTCATCACTTTAGTACTCTATTTGGCAGACACAACAACATCTCCTAACTTGGATTTTGCAGGGTTGAGGCCACTACCATGTTCCTACTGAAATGACTGCTTTGGGTCTTAGCACAGAGGCAGCATTCTTTACAGATACAAGAGCACCACCAGGACCAATACCATTTCTGTAACATCTTAGTAAAGCAACTTTTACCTGCTCTTGACTTTCGCCCACATCAGAAAAGTAAACAAAGCCCAGACCATCAAACCAACATCTATAGGGGTTTTTAAGCTCACTGTAACAAGCTAAGAACTCACAGTTTGTAACTGTAAGTAACAGAACATCAACAGGAAGACCAGCATCTTTTGATGGTTTGGTAATTGTCTTAATATCAGCCAAGGATGGAAGAACTTTGTTAAGCTCAGGAGGATCCCCAACATTCCTTGTTGCAGTTCTTTCTTTCTTTCCTTTCTTGTTATTCTTTCTTTTTACTGTGGTTCTTTTGTTCTTTGAATTGTTTGAAACATTCTTTGAAGAAGATCGGAGACCAGTGGTAAGCTGGGGTGTATTACTATCACTATCCTCTGATGTGTTTGTTGAATCCCGTGAAGATTTTATTTTCTTGGATCCTTAAGTACAAGAAAAAAAAACAGTAACTAACTAAATAAGGATTATTAATAAATTAATGTAATTAGAGTCAAACCTTGCTTTACGGACACCCCCCTTTATGTGAACTCCTCGTTATTATCCAGACAGATTTCCTTGTCCCTTTCAGGCTCTTAAATTTTTTCAAAATTTAAAACCTGCTATAAATATAACAGACATCCTTTTAACACAGATCAGTGGGGTATGACTGTAAATGTAAATGTTATCGGTTTACTCATGAACTTGCAGGTGCTCATACATTCCATGTTGAATTGGAATTTAGAATTGTTGGGAAAACAGAAGTATCTAGAAAAAAAACCTCTCAGAGCAAGGGCCAGAGAACCAACAACAAACTCAACCCATGCCCCATATTATGGTGTCAATGTTATACATAAAATCTGTTAACACATTAAACCACAATACCACTTTTGCCAGTAGCTATAGGTCAATTTTATTGATAAGCAATAACAGTAATTGAATTGGACTGCCCTGGGTGCTAAATTTTTATGGGGTTGGAAAGGATGGAATGTACACCAATCCAAAGGAACTCAAAGGGAGGCTCTTGTTTACAGGGGACACATTCTTTATTTTTCAGAATTTCACCCTAAAGATAAAATTCATCTTTCTTTTAAAATTAATAAACAAAAGTCACAACATTTGCCATTTGTCCCTCTCCCATAATACACCTTGTTTGCCCCTAAACCTTTGCATAAGCTCTGTTTTTTATTGGGTCGTATTTCATTGGTCCCAAGAGAAATTACAGACAATGCTTATACAAAATTTGGGGGGGCAAACAAGGTGTATTATTTATAGGAGAAGTGAAAATGGCAAATTAGTATGGGTAAAGTGTAAAGTTCAGTCCCGACATTATGGAATTCTCTTCATGAAAACATTTTATAATGTGGTCAATTCTATAATTTGTTGTGCAAAGAAGGGCTTTCATTGATCATCCTGAATATTGAATAAGTGCAATTTGTCTTGCAAATTGTGAAACCTGCATTCCTGCATTCTATTTGCGGTCTGTATGATAAAGACAGTGTCTCATAGTACTGTTACCTCAGATTTGATGTATAAAAAGTATAAAAGGCTGGTTTACGTGCCACCAGATTTGTTGGCAAGATTTTGTACAGTAAACGTGTCGAACGCAAAAAATTCGGCCTGATTTTGTTTTCCAAGAATTTGTTTTCCAGGCCTAATCTTCTGTGATCAAGAGCCATTAGGATTAATGTGATCAAAAATGATTGCTTTTTTGGGGGGTGCACATATATATAAGGCTATTATTAATTTAAGGCCATATAAGATTTGTGCCACTCTTGGACTGTTTGCAAATTATTTTTCTCTAAAATCACTCTTACCCTTTCCCTTAAAAGTCAAATGAATGTGTCCTAAAGTTAACTGATTTGTGGATTACAAGTTTATTGTTTGATTAAACAATAAATTTAGTAATAAGTGCTTCGTTTTTAGCCCTGGCTAAAACTATATATTAGGCTGGTGTCTCTTTCAAAGAAAAAAATGTTCTGCTACCCTCATATCACCGACCAGCATGACCTTCAGCAAAAGTGAAATAAAGATGGTGTAGAAGAAATTGCCTCAATTGTTAAACTGATGAACAGGCAATGAGACTATCACCACTGGCAACAAAGTGAAGAGAAATCTAACATCAATACTGTGAATCTGTCAATGCTGAGACATTTGACCAATCAGAGCATGATAGCAGAATCTCATTTGGCTGTATTACAGGCCATAAGGCTCCACCCCTTTTTCTCCTTTCCCAGCCATTCATTTGGCTGGCTTCACTCCAGGATTTATTCTCCCCCATAGGGGTGTGCTCTAACCGAGCCCTGGCACCTAACTTTTGTTCTTGGGCGACTAGAAAATCACAGTTTTTTCATACAAATCATATGCTGGGCACCCTGAATTTTACAGCCTGAGGCTCAGAGTACTGGGCTCCCTTCAATTTTCCTTAGAACACAGCCTTGATTAGTATCCATATTTTCTTTCAAAACAGAGGGGTCTGGTCCAAGGCTATGATAGTGAATTTGTCCCACAGCAGCGGTATATATTTCATGGCGGATATACAGTGCATAAATTATAATTCAGTAAGAATTATGTAATGGAGTGGTGACCCATTAAGAGGGCTGGGGGACATATATTCAATATTTTTAGCCTAAACTGGGTGATTAAATTACCTTTTTCAGCTGAGTCTGCAACCACTTTTAACCTTCTCTTTCTTGTTTGCATGATAGCAAATTGAGATGACCCATCAAGAGCTGGTGAACAAAATCAATATTTTTTTAAAAATACCACCTGAAACAGAAACCAAATGCAAAGCAAATACACAGTCCTAAACATTGCAATGCCCAGTTGATGAAGTAGTGTGAAAGATGACAAGAGATTTATTTGTCATGAACTGCAATGTGAATACTGAATACATACCTGTAAAGATCGCTGTCTTCTTCAGATCAGGTTGCTAAACGTTCCTTTGATACCAGGATTTCACATCTCTTATTTCTCCTGAATTTATCTGTTGTTATCCGAGGGAAAAAACACAAAAGAACGCTACAGCTATGGACAAAAAATTATGCATGCAGGTATTTGGAATGTGCATTTTATGTTTCAATCATTTCGGAATTTCAACATCAACCCTCCCCCCCCCCCCCCCCCCCCTTAAGCAAAACCTTGCCCCTTCACATTCCTGGACCTTTGGCCCCCCCCCTTCCCCTCAAACCGAGAGACGTTTCTTTTCCTTTTCCCTCCTCCCCCCCCGGCGACAACACAGGAAAAACGTCCCCCATCCCTTAATTTTTTTGTTGTTTAGCCGAGGAAAAAAAACAAAAAAACGCCACAGCTGTGGAAAAAAAAATTTGCATGGAGGGATTTGGAATGTGCATTTTTTTTTTCAATCCTTTCGGGAATTCAACACCAACCCCCCCCCCCCCCCCCCAACCCCTTAAGGCAAACCTTGGCCATCTACATTACTGAGTCTTGTGCAGCCTCACTTAGCCTGAGAACGGAAGACGTTTCTTTCCGTTCATCATCGTCCCTCAGCGGCGATAAGCTAGGAGAAACGTCTGCCATTCGCAGGCTAAGACTCAGTGAGTGGGGAATTTGACCTGTGCTTGGGTTGGGTGTGGAATTTGAACCTCACGTGACAAGTTAATTTCCTCTTATGATCAAGTAGTTCAATACACTGTATTCACAAATGGCGGACACGAGGGAAAAAACTGATGCCTGAAAGCGAGGCGTTGCAGGATAAACAAAAATTGAGTGTTTAGTACGGATTCCACCTAAAATAACTTTGTACGGACTTCTTTTTAAATGCAATTACGTGGGATGTCTTCAGCCCTTAAAGTTTAGTACTGATTTTCTGTTTGCAATCAAAAGGGACGCGTATACCTTCAAGGAAACAGGATGATTTTGTAGGTTTCTGAAGCTGCATCAGAAGCTCGCTGTATTAGTCACTGCTAATGAACAGTGAACTGCACCAGGTGATACAAGGGTAAGCCTCACTATGGGTACCCTGGGGACGTCACACTGGACTGTTATTGGTCAATGCTAATGAACCGTCAACTACACTAGGTAATACAAGGGTAAGCCTCACCATGGGTACCCTGGGGACGTCACACTGGACTGTTATTAGTCACTGCTAATGAACAGTCAACTACACTAGGTAATACAAGGGTAAGCCTCACTATGGGTACCCTGGGGACATCACACTGTACTGTTATTAGTCACAGTGACTGCTAATGAACAGTCAACTACACTAGGTAATACAAGGGTAAGCCTCACCATGGGTACGCTGGGGACGTCACACTGGACTGTTATTAGTCACTGCTAATGAACAGTCAACTACACTAGGTAATACAAGGGTAAGCCTCACTATGGGTACCCTGGGGATGTCACATTGGACTGTTATTAGTCACAGTGACTGCTAATGAACAGTCAACTACACT